CGATTAATCGATTAATCGAAATTATTAATCGATTTTAGAATCGATTCTGGGTTGAGAATCGATTCCTATCCCTAGTTACGGGACCCATGTATGTAGTGAATTCAAATTCTATGTGTGACAGACTAGTGTGTGTGAATACATGTACTTGTATTTTTTTTAGGTTAACTACATGTCATGTATATAAATTACTGTATACATTCAAATCTCTAAATGCACATCCCCTAAATGCACGCACTAAGTTTACTCTCCATAAGAGCACATTTTGATTTAGTTCCAAATATATGAAGCATCAAGTATTTTACCCTCGTAAATGTAATTATTTTCTCTAAATGCACACTATAATTGTATTTCCATAGGAAAGGCTGACTGCATTGTAGTAAACAACGAGATAATTTACACAATTTACCTGCTGTTAATTTTTACCAGTCATATTATAAAGTCACCATATGTCATACATGTATAACAAGATAACATATGCCATCAGTAAAATGGCTGCTTTAAATAGAGTACTTATTATATAATTTTAATTTAGATTGTTTTTAAATACAGCAAACCTGTGCATTTTTCATTATTTACTATTATTAGAAAAACGTTCCCACTTTTTTCCTTTTTTATTTATGACAACAAAAAAAATGATCATTTGACGATCAGTAAAGGTAACATATGTCCCGTGTGTTACATGTATTTTAACGTTTAAGCTTTTCAACTGTGGGGAGTTCTGGATGTTTGATTCATTGAAGCATGTATAGCACACATGTTCAAAATAGATTATGAAAATTTAACTTAATCGATAAGTTGTTGCTTATTTTATAGCAATGATTAAAATTTGATCCCAATTTAGATACAAAAAAAAGAATTCTGTTAAGTGTGAGATTATCATTTATCGATATCAATACGCGCATAATTTAAAATTTAACGCGTACGATTTGGAATAATTTATTTGTCTGTTTTAATAGCTAATGTTATTTTAATGCAAGGAAGAATATAAAACTCCTTTTATTTTTTTTATCTTGATAAACTTTTATAAATAAAACGTCATACGTGTTAGTATCGCTTGTTTACCAAAAACAGCACGAGTATAAACTTTAAATTTCTATGAGAAATATGAAACAATACGTCCATAAGGATGTTTTAATAGACTAGATCTCCGATATTTTTTATTTGAATTCATAAGTTATTGAATACGTATACGTATGTTACATTTAATTGATTGATTCCGCCCAAATTTTTCTGCAGTGCCTACATAACGAATTATAGCTACCCTGCTTTTTATTATTGTTGATTTGAGTAACGACACGTAATGACACCGATTTCTCCGAATGTTTTTTGCTTTAATATATAAATATATTCTTTATTCGAACAATGAATGGTATTAAGAGAGATAAACAAATAATACGTATATTGAATAAGGGACTAGATGCATCAAACAAAGGTTCAATCGTAAAATTCTTTAAGGCTTGAAGGGACAGTCGACTGCTCCATTATAAACACAATAAACAACTATGTATAGAAAGTTCTTGCTAAATTTCTAATTGTTTATAGACTCGATAGTGTCATTTTACATTGAGTAAATTCACTTGTTACTTAATGCCTCTTGCTTTGATTGCTTTGCAAATATATTCATAAAAATAAATTTAATAAATATTCTAATACATGTACGACCTAAATATTTGATTTATAATAACTTGTGTTGCATTTCTTTGATATTTTCGGTCAACAAGATAATGATTGCTATTGCATAAAACATAAGACAATCATAAGATTACTTTCATACTTCATAATCATATATGCATATTAAAGTCAATTTGTGTTTTTGTAAAGCTTGTGACTGGATAAAAAGAAAAAATCACAATAAAAAATACACTATACTGTTTTCACTTTACGTTAATGAGATCTGTGAAAAATATCAATGCTAATCATAAAATTGTCTTTCATTACTTTGTTTCTTATACCCAAAATTTGATTATTTATTTATCAATTATTTTTGATAAAATTCTTTTTTGTTCCCATTTATTATTTATTATTTACTTTCTTTAGATTTCGTTGAAGATTGAAATACTTAAAAAAAATCAACAAAATAAAACAATTTAGCCACAAAAGCTTTTTCAATCTTAAAGGAATGGTGGCAGCGTACGAATAACCCATTTGCTGCGTATAGCATTACAGCAAAGAATGAATCTTCGGATTGAATTACGAGGTACCAATCTAAAATCTAAACCTCTGGAAATGTGGAAAAGAAATTAATTTAAGTTTAGCCAAAACAAGATATTTGTTTTGTCACGTTGCAAAGTTAAGAAAAAAGAAACTCTTGTTTAATTTTATATTTATTGGTTTATTCATGGCTAACAACGCCAAACTGCATAAATCATGCGATAATGTATTGATTCGGAGTCGGAGTAATAATTTCTTTTTACATAATGATAATTAATAGGCGTAAAATAGTTATTCATTCATAGGCTTAAACTTTAAAGAGTATGAATTGAAGTTTATTTTTTGGTAAACAAAAGATACTCTATATACATTTATATTATATTTATGGGATAAAGAAATAGCTGAATAAATTATAGATTATTTTTGAATTATGGAGCTATCGATAAGTCAAGAACGCCGCTTTCATAGTATTGCAAATCTAAAAGAGATAACAAATCTAATCTTTAAAGGTCCGCAATATATCCTCATGCATATATTCAATATCCCGAAAGGCCACCGTAAAATAGTATAATATCTCGCATACTAATTTACAAGATATTTAATTTTCAGTACGAGAGATTGTAAATATGCATTTATAAGATTAATTACTAAAAAACTGTCTACTGGTTATTGACTTTGCTATATTCTCTTGTTGAAGGAATACACTTTTATATTTATATTATTATATTAATATTAATAATTATATGCATAGCCAACATTGTAATAATTGTTTCTCCAAATCGTCAATTTTATCTGAATCACTTTAAACTCATAAGTGTATAATTTTCCTCGCATTAATTCTCCTCTCTTTTCTTGAAAAACATTCAGTTTCTTTTGAACACTTACTGAGATTCATCTTTGATAGAATGAGCCGACCATCGCAACCTCAAGCTCAAGCTCAACCTCAAGTTCAACCTCAAGCTCAACCTCAACCTCAACCTCAAGCTCAAGCTCAACCTCAACCTCGACCTCAAGCTCAAGCTCAAGCTCAACCTCAACCTCAAGCTCAAGCTCAAGCTCAACCTCAACCTCAAGCTCAAGCTCAAGCTCAACCTCAACCTCAACCGCAACCGCAACCGCAACCTCCACCAGTACATGTCAACATGGTGCGATATATCATAGATGGAGCCGCTTTCAACGACTATACAACTATGACGCCAAATCAAAATAACACCTCGAGTCTACTATTTGAATCTTATAGTAGATAAACTCAAAGTTTTCTTTCTTCGTGTCACCTGTTTTGTTTCAATTATAGTTTTATTTTGTTGATCGTTATTTTAATCATCTCATTTGATTATTATTTACTATATATCTCACTCATATTTATCAAAAATGTTTATTAATTAGACACGCGCTAAAGAATCTTTATAATACTATTGTCTATCAATCGTTTATATATACTTTTAGATTCTCTTAACTAATAACATCTGTTCTGACTTTTTAATATAAACTCATTAATTAATTGAATATTTATATGCACAGTAAAATCTAAAATTTATGTATTCTTACATCGTTTAATGAAATCTTCAAATCCCTTATTACATTTTACGTTTTATATTTTAGATTTTCTCAGAATCTAAGATGTAATCTCGATATTTTTATAATAAAAATTCCGTAAACATACGTAGTGTTACTAACCATGTATATTTTTAGATCTGATGTATTCTTTAAGATTCAAGCAGATTCTATAGATATTGTTTAAATACCATGTTCAGTTATTTTCAATATTGATATTATTTAGATGACCGAATTTATTTAAATCCGAATCTTATTGGCTGTCTAACCCTATTTCAGGTAGAAAAATTTTCTCATCTTTAATACACTCGGATTCTGTCAAACCATTAGAAAAACTTCTATAATTTTTATTTACGGTAATCCTTCCATAACCACCACGTCCTCTTGATGAACGTATATTCATAAAGAGTCTAGCTATGAAACTTTTTACTTTAGAGATTTTAATTCTCAATTACCTTTACAATTTCTTATATTTCGAAAATAAATTCAAATAACCTTTGTCATTATTTGATATCCTTCGAAACGGCTTGTGATCTTAAAATTCTTATTTAGGCACATACATTGTAGTAAAATTGGAAAATTTTTTCATGTGCTTTGAACATGAGAAGTATGACTGATTTATATTACTTTCACCTTTCACATTTACCAGATGATTCGATTTTTGTTGAAGCAACATTTGGGAATGGCGACATTCAAGGAACCAGCATAAAGTTCCCGAAGTTCTGAATTAAATCTGATCACAATCTATGGCCAATGTCAAATGGAACGTAAAAAACATATGCCAAAAAATCTTGGCAAATTGGAATGGTATATGGTTGAAGAGAGTGGCGAAATTTGTAACTCATTTCTAAAAAAATTTAGAGTTTCGATGAGAGTCTAATTAGGAGCTACCAATGATACATGTATAAGTTTATGTGATTTAGTGCAACTGTTAAACCATAATGACATAATTTGTAATTCCAGATTTTTTGTAACACAACACACTATACCTACTTTAGAATAAAGCCTTTAAACTGATATCCATGTATCGCTTGACTTTAAAATGTATACATATTTTGATTCCTTATTTATTCATTAATGCATTATTTGTGCAATTATAACGTTCAATAGCACTTTAGAAAATTGAAATCATAAACTCACAGAAAACGTAAGAAATATGTCAAATCAACCAATACTCGCAGAAATTGCCAACTTACGGATTTTGAGTGTGGCGAGATAGCCGGTGCTTGAAAGTGTATTTTTTCGAAAGAGAAAATCGGAGAAATTCTAGGACGACCCAAATCTACAGTTCATAACATCATACACAAATATAAATAGTTTAGCCTAATAACAGTTTCTGTCCGACGCGGTAAATCACAAATATTAAATGCTAGGGTCACTCGAAGTGTAATTAAATTTGTAAATGAAAACTGACAACAAGCAATTTCAAAATACCAAAAGATTTAATACTGCTTTGAAATTTCGGTTAGTTCTAAACCATATGTTGTAGTCTTCATGTAAATGGGAAACCGTTAAAGCAATTAAAAATGGTATCTAGAAAGAAAAATTGAATTCTTAAATAGGCATTAGTAATTTCGTGTGAAGAATCAAGGTATTTAAGTTTCAGCAGTGATTCACAGTAATATGGCATTGACTCCATGAAAAATATGATACTCTTCTTCATATATGAAATCGGGTAATCGGGGAGTAATAATATAGGATTTTTTTTTACCTAAAACAACTAATCGACATGGAAGGTATAATAATCTGTCAAAAATATGAAGAAATACTTTGAACGACATTTTAAACCATTTTTAGATGATCTATCTGCTAGCTCTGTTAAGATGGTAACGCTCCAATTCACATCCGTTATGAATGGAGAGAGAAAAATCCAATAGCTTTACTTCCATGGACTGCCCAGAATTCTGATCTAATCCAATTGAACACTTATGGATGTTCTTGAAAACGAATTTGTGCACGGCCAACTCATACTAAAAATCAAGAATTGATGGGGTACTCGTAGAGGAAATCGAACCGGAAATTTGGTTGAAACTATGTCAAGAAGAGTACAAGCAGTAATTGACACAAAATGGGGTATCCAACCTGATATTAAAAAAGCCCTACTTTTACTATAAATGATATACATGTACTGTAGTTTATTAAAAAAGTAAATACATGTATAAGTCACCCCTGTGATCTACGTCGTAGGTAGATTTTACATTATCGTTATACATGTACAAATGTAGATCCACACAAATGACACAAATGTCACTTTGCGGGTGGGTATAATGAATCATTAACGTTAACGTTAATGCATGTACATTTATTAATTTATTATTTCAAAGTTGCATACATATTCAAAACAAACAAATAAATGAAAATTTATACCTGTTTTTAATATTTGACCCGATTTAGATTTATTCGAACTTTCTAAAAAAAGAATATTTAATTAAATAAAAAACAAAAAATCTGGCAACTTTGGAATGCAATATTTTATACAGTTGGATATCAAGCTCTTGTATCTCAAATTTAATGGATTTTTTTAACAAAAATATTGGAAGAATTAAATAAGAGATTTAATATAAATATATTTATTATATAATATTTTCTATCTAATCAGCTTTTTAATATTATTTTATGTGACTATCTAAAAATTAAATCTAAATATACTGTATTGATGGCTTATTATTTCTCATACTATACATGTAAATATTTACTTCATTCTTCCAAATAATTCACAGCTTATAATAATATCTTAAATGAGAAACATAGACTGATTATAATACATTTATATAAATGACAACATATTTATATTAAATTATATATCTTCAGGTCAATAATCATCTTACTATGAAACAATGTAAATATACTGCTTCTGATTTAATTAATAATAAAAATAATTATAATAAATAAAATTGATAAGGCAGACTTTCATTATATATAATTATAATATTAAGAATTGTGCAACTAATTTTATAAATATGGTTAAAAATTTAGATTCTTGCGAATTGAGAGCTCATTTAAAGATTATATAGATTCAAAAAGAATAGATCTATTTGAATGTCAAAATTTTGATGTCTAAACTTCGAAATACCAATCAAAATCCTATGTTAATATTCGAAATGCCCAAAATTCTGCATATTCAACATCTTGAATATACAAAATTCTGAACGTTCAACATAATAAATATCCGAATCTCCCATTTTCAATATGCGGAATATATAATATTCAAAATGTTTAAATTCAGAATGCTCAAAATCAAAATATTCAAAATTCTGAATGCCAAGATTCCAACTTGTCAAAATCCTGAATATATACAAAATATGTAATAAAATATATGTGAAATATATATTATATAATCATATGTAACTTGGATATAGGATGATTTTTGGACATTTGGATTTTGAGTAACTGGAAATTTGAGCATTTGAAAATTTGAATTTTGAAATTTTGAATATTTATGAAGTTGATATTTCAAAATTTAATGTTGATATTTTGGGTATTCAGAATTTTGAGCATTAGGAATATTAGCATTTTGAGATTTTGAAAATTTGGAATGCGAACATTTTGGAATTTTGGATATTCAGGATGTTGCATTTCGGGATTTTGGGTATTGAGATTTGAGTGTCAGGATTTCGGCATTCAGAATCAACTTCTGTTTATTAGGTTATGATTAATATTTCAGTTTGATTATAGTGCGATATAGATTAAATGTCAATGATAAAATTAAAAATGAAGAAAACTTTAGTAATAACAAAAATAAAATGATGAAATTAATATTAATAAATTAATTGAAAAGGAAAATGATGCTCTGTTAAATTGGTAGAACGATCAATAGGTCCAAGGAAATTGTGTTGCATTATATATATACTGAATCTGCATGTATGCGCTTTATAATAAAGAGAAATAAGTATCAAATAAGGGCATAAAGGTTCTATTTTCAAACAGTATTTCGTAGTTCTGTATATTAATTATTAAAAAAGATTATAAATTTATTATATGTTGATTCATTGTCAGAATTATAAAGTTAATAATTGAAAGCTACGATTTGAAGATATTGTAGCAAATGATAATATTTTTGAGGAAAGATCTAGCTTTTCATACATGGTTCCTGCAAAAAATGCGTTCACCTTGCAATCAGATAATAAAGTGCTAGTAAATATTCCATTACAACAACTCACAAAGTTTCGCTAAATTGTCATATGTACAAGAGCGTGGCCTTGCTTTTTGAAGTTGTCTTTAAGAACCATATTTTTTGTGGCGCAATTTTTTCTCGGTCTTTATTTAAGTAATAACAAATTAATTATTGCTCACATGATTTTCCGATTTTTCTGTACCTATTCAAATATTCATAATAGAGAAATACGCTGTTTTTATTTTTTCACATCATATGAATAATTAATATGGAGTGGAAATAGTTTAAACTTTTACGAAGTATATTACATTACAATTTTTTCCTAGCATCATAATTTATCTAAGATATTCTGGTCCAATGTCCCAAAAAACTAAAAACCTGACGTGTTCAACATACCTATATCCTGACAACACCTCGACATGTACAAAACTCGGAAATCTCTAAAATTTCGACATATCCAAAATCCAACAAAATTATACACTCAAATATTGATGTCAATCTACGCTTTTAATATTATATTTGACACAGACAAAAATCATGATTCACATGACTTTTACACTGTCACAAGGACATGCTAGAATTTTAATATATCTTTTAAGTGTTGAGATTTTTGATATGTCTTTTGGACTGATGCTGTCAAAATTCTAAAACCGCAAATCCCGAATATCCAACATCCCGATTCCCAAATTCTGATGCCCAAACTCTTGAATGCCCAACATAAAGAAACTCCCGAAATCTCAACTTACCATCAAATGCCCAAAATACTGACTCCCCAAAATCATGACATATTCAACAACCCGAAATTCCTAAAAGATAAATAGAAGTAAATGTAAAGGGGATGTTGGAATTTGGATATTTGAGGATTTTGGTAAAAACAATATACATGTAGAACATCACAATACAACTAGACAAATCAAGATGCAGCATGTAATATACCTTATTCAGGGAACATCAATATTTTCTTTATTAGATTGAGACGAAGACAGTTTTGATAATAAAGTTAATTTTTTTGTATTGCATATCAAAGATATCATATCACTCCACACAATAATTGAATTTAATTGTATAATTTAAAATTATATCGTAACGTAAACTTAATCTTTAATTTAGTCTCCCCCTGTTTTGTTTTTTGTTTGTGCTCTATATTAACAGAGGGGAACCATCGCAGTTATGTTTCTATATTAATAACAATTACGAAGTAATGAATGTGAAGTGATATCAAATGCTAATTATTTCTATGTTAAGGAAAAATTAACGAATTGCCAAAGTAACAATACAATGCACATGTAAGCAGAGATACATATCTTTACTGCAACATCGTTATTTAAACTCCCAAATTAAACAAAAAAGTTAATTAAAAACAGGCGTACTTTCAGCATCTCAAATGCAGATTTTTCTGATTCGTCGAATCAAAAAAATGGAACACTTAGAAAATAATAATATGGGGAGAAAAAAGAGAAAATAACCAACTGAATCAGAAATGTATTTATAAGATAATAGAGATGGATCAAAAGAGAAAAATTTAAATTTAAATGATAATTTATCCGTAATAATTAACTCTGGTCAATTACAAACAAATTTAGCCTATCCTCTTCATTTATCATATAAAATCGAATCGAAATAATGAACCAGCAACTATCGGCAGAGTTTAAACATCCTCAAACATAAAATAATCTTGCTTTCTGTTATGAGAATGGCGAAGGAACAATTAAAGATGAACAAAAAGCATTTGAATAGTATTTGAAATCATCTGACTCTGGAAATCCTTCTGCACAATATAATCTTGCTTGCTGTTACTCTAATTTCGAAGGAGCAATCAAAAATGAACAAAAAGCATTTGAGTGGTATTTGAAATCGGCGGAGTCTGGAAATTCTAATGCACGATATAATCTTGCTTGCTGTTATAAAAATGGCGAAAGAACAATCAAAAATGAACAAAAAGCATTTGCTTGGTATTTGAAGTCGGCAGAGTCTAGAATACCTAAAGCACAACGCTATCTTACTGACTGTTACTTCTATGGAAGAGGAACAATCAAAGATGAACAAAAAGTATTTGAGTGGTATTCGAAATCGACAGAGTCTGGAGATGCTTATGCACAAATAAACTTGCTCTTTGTTATAAAAATGGTGAGGGAACAATCAAAGATGAATAAAAAGCATTTGAATGGATTTTGAAATCGGCAGAATCTGGAGATCTGATACTCAAAATAATCTTGCTCTCTTTTATGAAAATTAGCATTAATATGATATCAAAAAGAGAACGGACATGATCGAGCGCCTGAATTAGTTGAACCTTTAATTTTGAAGAAATTTATTCTAATTTGTAATTAAACATTTTGCTTTTTATTTTCTGTTTATAGTTCAAACTTTAGAAAAGTTAATTCATTTTCCATTGTGAGAAAGTTCATAAGATTTATATGTATACTTATATTATTATGACGTTGTTAGTTTAAAATTTACATGATTCAAACTTACCTGGGTTCATGCGATTCATTTATATTTCTTAAAAAGCTCAAATTTCATTATTCAGCGAGATACCTTTTTTAAAAAACATATTGGTAGAAGTTTTCTTTCTCATTTTTTGAATATTGTATTGTACTTACCCATAAATCTTAAAAAGTTATTCTTTTTTGCAAAAAAATAGTTTGAAAGGAAGTTATCTTGTTTTTGGTTAAATTAATTTAGTTTGCATAATTTTGAGCTGGAAAATGGGAATAGTCTATATTCAGATTTACATTCAGAACTTTTAAAATAAAAAACAAAATAGAAATTATAAATAAATAAAATCATAATATTTAAAATTTCTAATAAGCTTTTATTCATATACTAATGAATGAGCCTGTGACAAATCTTATTAATATGATAACCAAATGTTTGATTTTCTTAACTGAGAAAGCTCAAAAGCAGTGTTGACCTATAACCTTAATTTAACCGTCAACTTTATTATAAATTTTGTATGTCTTAAGACTAAAATCATACAAAAAATGATTTTGGACCATGAAATTGGCTAGCATTGCTTAAAATTAAATGAATACAAAGTACTAAAAAAAGTGACGGTTCACATGATTTTTTAAGGTTATACCAATCAACAAATCGCAAGATGAAATATTAATAGCATTTTAATTACGGTGAGGGTAAGAAATCAACGATTTTATTTTATATTAGTTTATTTAATTAATTCATTATTCTATCTTTTATTTAGATTGTAAGAAATCAACGATTTTAATTTATATTTTCATTTTAACTTTATTTGATATTAATTTATTTAACTAATCCATTATTCTACATTATTTAGGGTGTAAGAAATCAACGATTTTATTTTACATTTAATTTTATTTGATATTAATTTATTAAATTAATCCATTATTCTATCTTTTATTTAGATTGTAAGAAATCAACGATTTTATTTTATATTTTCATTTTAATTTTATTTGAAACTAATACATTATTATATCTTCTATTTAGATTGTAAGAATAAATGATTTTATTTTACAGTTACATTTTAATTTTATTTGATATCAATTTATTTAAACAATTCATTATTGTATCCTTTATTTTAGTGGGTAAGAGATAAACTATTTTATATTAAATTTTCACTATAATTTTATTTGAGATTAATTTATTTTAACTAATCGATTATTCTATCCTTTATTTAGGGAATAAGTATCAACGATTTTTTTTACATTTTTTTTAATTTTATTTGATATTAATTTATTTAGCTACCCATAATTTGATCCTTTATTTTAGTTGGTAAGAAATCAAAGATTTTATCTTACATTTTCATTTTTATTTTTTTTTACTAATTTATTTAACTAATACATTATTCTACCCTTCATTTAGATGGTAAGAAATTAACGAATTTATTTACCTTTTCATTTTAATTTTATTTGATATTAATTTATTTCATTAATTCAGTATTTTATCCTATATTTAGTTGGTAAGAAATCAATGATTTTTTTTTACATTAATTAATTTCATATAATATTCATTTATTTAACTAATCAATTATACTATTCTTTATTTAGGAAGTAAGAAATCAACGATTTATTTTACATTTTCATTTTAATTTTATTTAATATTAATTTATTTTATTAATCCATTATTCTATCTTTTATTTAGGAAGTAAGAAACAGCGATTTTATTTTGACATTTACATTTTAATTTATTTGATATAAATTTATTTAACTAATTCTTTATTCTATTATTTTATCCTATACTTGATGGTAAGAATCAATGATTTTATTTACTTTTTCATTTAATTTAATTTATTTATTTAACCAATCCACTTCTTAGATGGTAAAAGAACAATAATAGCAGTGACGATGACAACGATGATAAAAATAATAATAAATACTATTAATATTGAGAAAGTTAATATTGTTATATCATCATCTTATCAATGATCAATACTAAATCAGTATCTAAAGTAGGAAAGTATTCATGCTATCCTTTTACTATTCCTCATAAGCTAAGTTCAACAAAGTGACCAATCGAGTTTTCTCAAGATGAAGACAATTTAATTGCTACTATGTGATCTAAAAAATCTAAGAAATTAATCACTTGGTATCTACATCGGAGAAACAGCAGGAAAATAAGATAAGACCAAAAAAATGCAAAATTAATCGATATAGAAATAACAACAGTTTCATAACATTTTATGCTAATAAAAATATCAACTATCAAAAGAAAGTAAGCACCATATATTATTAGTGCAAACTATTCTTCAGATCAAGAAAATGAAAAGAAATGAAAAATCGTGATGATGACTACAAATATTGAGAAGAATAATACTGTTACATTGTCATTGTCATCTTTATTGACATATAAGATAAAAGTTCTCACAAATGATTCTTTTCTTTCTTCTACTATCATTTCTCCTGCTTATTCATTAATTAAATTACCCATAAGAAATCAAAGCAAGTTTCAACTATATCATAGCAATAGCAATGGTTACAAGCCTTCAGATGTGGTCGATAGAGAAAATGCTGATGAACAAACTATCGAAACTTCACCTTCGATTTCATTAACAATATCTGAATCATTTGCTAGTAATGTGATAAATACATCTGAATCACAAATTAATGTGCAAATGGAAATAGATATACCTACAATGCAATCAGTTACAATCTTCAAAAACGAAACTATAATTAATGCATTCCAATCACAACAGACAGAGAGTAACAAATCTGGATTTAATGCTTTTCGACCATCACAAGCAGTAACTGATGAACATGAATTTAATGCTTTCCAACCTTAGCAAGTAGCAACCAATGAATTTGGCTCCAACGAGGCTTTTCGTCTCAGAACCTACGAAATAAAACATGTCGGATTAAGAAATACTTTTGAAACTTTTTGGATTTAAACAAATTCGAGATATATCTCATATTTTAATTTTTGTGCTAAAATTTAAAGTATTCAATAACGCATATTTGAGTTGACCGAGTAATGATATTCATACAAGGTAAAATAAGTATGTTAGCATCAAAACTTCAATACTTGAAATTCAAAATGTATTTGTAATCATAAAGAATAATTCAAGTTTAAAAATTTTCTAGTGTATAATTTAAAGTTATCATAATATGTAATATAAAATCATTATTTGCATCTTAAAAAAAATGAAAATGAATTTCTTGCAAAAAAATTAATATCGCTGTTTTATTTGGGTTGTATTGGATATTTTAGACTAAATTTCCAAACCAATGAAAATATTGTCAACAACTGACATAAAACATTTACATATTATAAAATAAAAATTTTATCATTCTATCTGTTTCTTTTATCTTATTTTAAAGATAAACTATATAATGCTCTAAGCTAAAATATAATTGCAGATATTTTTCACTTATATTTTGAATATGAATGCTATAGGAAAAAAAGCTTGAAACGTACGTCCTTTAAAGTTAACGAATACATGAACTTCGAATATTTTTTATAACAATAACGATATAATGACTAGGTGTGAATAATTACAATTACATGATTAAGTTTAATTGAAAAAAGTTTTTGTACGATCGAAAAACAATATCCTTCATGAAAATAATGTAAAACTATAAATACACATATATATTTAAAACAATATAAAAATGAATGCGCGTACCTTTATCAGTTATTAATTTTGAAGACTGACCTGGTGTAAATTTCATTCAAATGGATTCTTGGTTTTGCTTATAAACGTAGAAATTCTTGCTTGCGATTCCATTTTAGTTCTTTCAATTTCTGTCTTCCTATTCTCCGAAACTCTTTAACTTCTTCCTGTGCTTTAAGGTGTTGTAACAATTAAATGCAAAGTATTCAGTTTCCAATCTTCATCGTAGATAGATTCGATTTCGTCATCAATTTCCTCAGCAGTTGGTCTGTTTTCTGGAATAGGATCCCAACTTTTTTCAATAATATTTTGCACCATCTGGGAATGTAATTTAGTATCATAGGACGTACTCCTTTAAATGACTCCAAATGGTTGTTCACCAGCTACATTCTCGTATATAACGATTCCAAGCCATGAATATCCGCAGTGTTAGTGTACGGCTTTCCACTTAGCTACCTCTGGACTCATATAAGGAAGCACGCCATAAATATTAAATTAAATCTATAGGAATGTTAAATCCAAAGGCAGCATACAATAAAAATAGCAAACACTTGTATAGAATGAATCTTAATAGATTTAAGCTCCTATTATAGAGTTTTGATTTAATAATTTATCAATTATCTATCAAGTATATATCAATTATTTATTAGCACGCTGATGCATTCACATTTTAATATAAAATAGGTTCAACGAAAAAATTTTTTTCAAAAAAACCAAAATTTCCTTCGAAACCTCTTTCATTCTACTTTTGAATTTGTGTAAACTGAAAAAATGCGCTTGTCAATCTTTTCTGTCTGGAGCCTTTTACTATCAATCTCGGTTGACCTCATGTGAACATCAAATGCTTCGACGGACTATTACTCGACTCGATACTTAGCGTGTCTCGATCTGCGAGCACCAAAAAACATATAAAGTGCTAACCAAGAAATATTACCAAGGCAAATACCCTGATGATAAAGAGGTTGAAGAAAAATATCTCTAAGTACTGAAAATTTATTTACAATGCAAGTTAATAAAAAAAAGAAAGTAAAAACCACACCTTATTTATCCAATATGTCTCACCTTAAAAAAAATATTAGCATTTTCTGGTATATGCATAGCAGCACACACACAGTACATACATAGCAGCGCATATTCTCCATCCCCCGGTGCATCGTTATTTGACGAAACCATTAGATAGAAAACCAGAAGGAGTGTTGTCAAGAACAGTTGCTATTTCCTGAGAATCAGTGTCTTAACATTTTTCCACATGCTCCAAAAAATTGAACTTACAAAAGAATTAAAATGCATATATTAGGCATGTCAAGAAATACAGGGGAAATATGTTATTCGATGCTTTTATTGGATTATCGTTATCAAAAACTGTGACAAGTATCTACCGTCCAAGTTACAAGTTTCCCTAAGTAACTATCGTCTAAGCACAACATTCTGAAGCACAACAATATGAAAGCACAACGATTCCGAAATAGGTTAAATATCTTAATAAATTTTTTACAATTCATTATCTCAAAATAGTGTTCCGAAGCTCGGTACAGACTTTCAAAATATGACAATACACGAAGCACACAGGTTTTACTTTGTCAGGTATATTTTTTTAAAAAATTCATTATCGAATAACACATTTCCCACGTATTCCTTGATGTGTGAGTATATTTTCTTTTTTTTTAAAAAAAAATAATGTACAAACAAATAAAACACAAGTGTTACTACGCGTGTTGAGAATAGTGTTACTATGCACAATTCTACAACGTATTAATATTCGGTTTCTTAACATCCATTTCAATAGAGAACTCCATCTACGTGATAATCCAATTTGTGGCAAAATAAGCATATCGTGAGATATCTTTGGTTTAATAAACATAGGATCATAGTCAAAAGATCGGCGATCATCATATAGTGCACGTCATCACCATTGGACATATTCCGGACTACACCCCCGATAAATAGACATAATCTATTCCGCTATACGACCAATCACCTCTTCAGAAAACACCCGTTCGTATGATAGAGAATTATACATACCTCTTATATTTACTAAGATTGAATCGACTACATTGTATCCGCTTATCAAAGGTCGACCTCATCCTGCGTCGTGTAGGCAAGAGCGAGAATAGGTATGGGCAAGCGAAAGTGAACAAGACCGAGT